CCTTTTCATAGTTATATGCAAATTTTATCCGTCTTTCTGAGGTTTTTTTATTGAGGTGTAATTGACATATAACATTACATTAGTTTCAGGTATACAACATAGTGACTTTGTATTGCAAAATTATCACGACAGTAAGTCCAGTTAATATCTGTCACCATACAGAGTTACAAATTTTTTTGCTTGTGACTAGAACTTTTAAGATCTACTCTCTTAGAAACTTTCAAATATTCAATAGAGTACTATTAACTATAGTCACCATGCTGTTATATTACATCCTCATGACTTTTTTATTCTGTAACTGGAAGTTTGTACCTTTTGACTCCCTTCACCCATTTTGCCCATCTTCTACCCTTTAGGCTCTGGCAACCACACAATCTGTCCTCTGTACCTATGAGCTCAGATTTTTGTTTGTTTGTTTCAGATTCCATATATCAGTGAGATCATACTGTATTTGTCTTTCTATGTGTGACTTATTTCACTTAGGATAATGCCTTCAAGGTTCATCCTTTCTGTTTGTTTTGATTTTTAATTTGAAGTGTCTATCTTCTTTGTACATGAAAAATTAGCCTCAGGAATTTCAAACCCATTGACTAAAAATTACTTCATATCTTTAAGATAAGAACATCAAATCAAAAGCATCTGGTTTTGTTTTAATGAAGAAACACAATGTTCCTCCAAAGTGACAGGAGAAAAGAATCCTACTATTGTTATCATGTCATGGAATGGGACTTGAGGGAGAGATGCTATTAGCACTGCATATTATTAATACCTCAGGGTGAAAATGTGCTCACTTAATTTGACTTTCTACTTTCAATAATCTTCTCTAAATGATTATATTAAAATCTCTCTGTAATGACTAGTCTGTTTCCAGAAAAGGCTACATGTGTGTACCCTTATATTTTGTTGATCATTTATTTCTCAGCATCTTACTGGATTCTCTATTTGGTACTATGCATATGATGCTTTTCAGTAATGTTATTATGTGTTTTTCCTTCAGCTTATGTAGATTAGAATAGTGCTTCTTTAGAAGTTGAGTATTAGAATAGAGGTGATTTTTCCAACTGTGGTACTTTTAAAGGTAAAGAATTCCCACCTTTTAAAGAGTTACTTGGAAGCAGTTCTTAATGTCACAGCCCTAAGAGACCTCTTTAGAATCTGACTTACTGCTGTGGCACCAAAGGGTTTTGTAGCTCTGTTTTTGTTTTGTTTTACTTTCCTTCAAAAAAGATCTGCTCTGAATGTTTTGCATTTGGAAATTAATTTTCTAAAGAATATATGAGCTTGGGGAATATTCCTCAGTCGTTCTCCTTCACACCCATCTCCTCTTGTGATGAGAATCCCTCAATAAAGAAATAACCACAGAGACTCAACATCAAGTATCTTGTGCCACAGTTTACACACAGGCTTCCCTGTGTGGAAGTTAAGTTTGATATTTGACTTTTTATAATATTCTATTTTTTGTATAGATTCAGCAGAAGAAAAATATTCCTTGAGGAGAGTGATCCTAAGATAATTTCACATGATGATCTTCCTCCCAGTTTTATTGAGATATAATTGACATATGGCATTGTGTAAGTTTAAGGCATTCATCATAAGGACTTGACTTTCACATATTGTGAAATAATTGTTACAACAACTAGTTAAAATCCATCATGTCATATAGATTTTTAAAAAGAGAAGAAAAACAATGTCTTTTCCTTTGTGATGAGGACTCTTAGGATCTACTCTCTTAACAACTTTCAAATATACCATATAGCACTTTTCACTGTACTCATCATGTTATACATTATATGACATTAAAAAACAAAAACTGCTTTTCAGTGGTTCTCATTCTAGGACAGGGATCAGCAAACATTGCCTGCTGTCCAGATTCAGCCTGCCATTTGTTTGTTTTTTCTTTTTTTAATTAAGGTATCATTGATATGTAATCTTATGAAGATTTTAAATGAGCAACATAGTGGTTTCAACATTCACCCATATAATCAAGTCCCCCCCCCAACCCCATTGCGGTCACTGTCTATCAGCGTAGTAAGATGCTATAGAGTCAATACTTGTCTTCTCTGTGCTATACTGCCTTCCCCGTGATCCATCTATATTGTGTGTGCTAATTATAATGCCCTTTAATCCCCTTCTCCTTCTCTCCCCACCCACCCTCCCTTTGGTTTTAACTGCTAGTCCCTTCCTGGAGTCTGTGAGTCTGCTGCTATTTTGTTCCTTCAGTTTTGCTTCGTTGTTATATTCCACAAATGAGTGAAATCATTTGGTACTTGTCTTTCTCCACCTGGCTTATTTCATTGAGCATAATACCTTCTAGCTCCATCCATTTTGTTGCAAATGCTAGGATTTGTTTTCTTTTTATGGCTGAATATTCCACTGTGCATATGTACCACATCTTCTTTATCCATTCATCCAGTGATGGACACTTAGGTTGCTTCCATATCTTGGCTATTGTAAATAGTGCTGTGATGAATATGGGGTTCCATATGTCTTTTTCAATCAGGATTCTTGTTTTCTTCGGGTAAATTCCTAGGAGTGGAATTACTGGGTCAAATGGTATTTCTCTTTTTAGTTTTTTGAGGAACTTCCATATTGCTTTCCACAATGGCTGAACTAATTTACATTTCCACCAACAGTGTAGGAGGGTTCCCCTTTCTCCACATCCTCACCAACATTTGTTATTTCTGGTCTTTTGGACATTGGCCATCCTAACTGGTGTAAGGTGATATCTCATTGTGGTTTTAATTTGCATTTCCCTGATAATTAGTGATGTGGAGCATCTTTTCATGTGCCTGTTGGCCATGTGAATTTCTTCTTTGGAGAAGTGTCTGTTCAAATCCTCCACCAATTTTTTAACTGGGTTATTTGTTTTTTTGGGTATTGAGGCATGTGAACTCTTTATATATTTTGGATGTTAACCCTTTATCAGATAAGTCATTTTTGAATGTATTCTCCCACACTGTAGGATGCCTTTTTGTTCTGCTGATGGTATCCTTGGTTGTACAGAAGCTTTTCAGCTTGATATAGTCCCATTTGTTCATTTTTGCTTTTGTTTCTCTTACCTTAGGAGATGTGTTCAGGAAAAAGTTGCTCATGTTTATATTCAAGAGATTCTTTCCTATGTTTTCTTCTAATAGTTTTATGGTTTCATGACTTACATTCAAGTCTTTGATCCATTTTGAGTTTACTTTGTTTATGGAGTTAGACAGTAATCCAGTTTCATTCTCTTGCATGTAGCTGTCCAGTTTTGCCAACACCAGTTGTTGAAGAGGCTGTCATTTCCCCATTGTATATCCATGGCTCCTTTATTGTATATTAATTGACCATATATGCTGGGGTTTATATCTGGGCTCTGTAGTCTGTTCCATTGATCTATGGGTCTGTTCTTGTGCTCAGACCAAATTGTTTTGATTACTGTGGCTTTGTAGTATAGCTTGAAATTGGGGAGCATAATCCTCCCAGCTTTGTTCTTCCTTCTCACGATTGCTTTGGTGATTTAGGGTCTTTTGGGGTTTCATATGAACTCTAGAACTATTTGTTCCAGTTTGTTGAAGAATGGTGTTGGTATTTTGGTAGGGATTGCAAGATTGCTTTAGGCAAGATGGCCATTTGGACAATATTAATTCTTCTTATCCATGAGTATGGGATGTATTTCCATTTATTGTTGTCTGTTTCTTTGTTTTTTAAGTTTTATTGAAGCATAGCATATATGTATTTGTCTAGTCATACTGCAAAGGCAGAGATGAGTAATTGCAACAGAGACTGTATGCCCTCCCCTACCCAAGCCTAATTTATTTGTGATCTGGCCCTTTACAAAAATATTTATTAATTCCTCATCCAAGGTGATCATCAGAATCATCTAAAGATTCCTGGACCTTTCCTTTCTACCAAAACAGAATTTCTTGATATACTGAGTTGTGTCATATATCAGTGGATGAAGCATTCACAAGCTAAATACTATTCTTATAGCATATATGCATAGGCAGATTGAGGAAGCCATATTGTTGTCCCTCACCCCCATTTATCACAAGTATAGGGTGGGTCTTCAGAGGGTATGGATTAAAGATTCACATTAATGTAAACATAATTAGCCAGGCATACAATTGAGAAAGCCTATTTAAAAGAACATTAACAAAATAAAGCAAAACAAAAAGCATGGTCATTATTTATTCTTAATCCTCAATAAGGAGACACAACACAGCAAGTCCATTGCTTAAAAACTGTTAAACATTCCAGTTCAGAGGTCCTGTATCATGCTATTATTTTCTTCCATTCACTAATACCAATCTGTTGTGTGAGTATTATTGCATAAATTGAGCATTTTGCTTTTGTTGAAAATAGCATTTTGTTTTGGTGGGGATTTTTTGTGTACACAGAATAGGCTGTGTTCATCTTTTTAGAACATGTTTTGGCAGTAGCAGGACAAGACCTGCCTCTGGCTTGCAACTGCAGCAGGTCAGAGGTAAGTTGTTCAGGTATTTAAGATACGTTACACTTTGTTTTGAAATATTATAATCATTTTGAACTGTCCTAGAGTGTTTGAATTGACATTTGCTTTTGGTGTATGTTCCTGAATTCTTATCCTGACATAACAGCAGTAATTTATTCCCTACTGGCAATGAATGCAAGATTTTAATGGAAATACCAGCCTAATTTTAAAAAAAGGTTTTAAAAAAAGGTTGCTATGTTCATTTTGATAAAATCCTTTAAAAAGTACTCATAGTGTCAAATGTCTGCCATTAAAGACCACCCCCTTCCAAGTCATATTTTAGTAAACTTAAGAATAATAAAAGAAGAGGTGAAAAATTCAAGCTGTTGAATGTTTTAAATATAAAAATGGACTTTAATCTTACTTAATCTTAATAGAGTTCATTTTCACATAAGTATGGGCCAAATTAATTTTAAAACACCTTCCATGATTGTGCTAAATTAATTCTTTGAATAAATGTTACAATTAGGTGTCAGTAGGTGCCTAATTTCATGTCATTTATTTATTTATTTTTCTAGTTGAACCTGGCTGTGAATGAACAGAAAGAGAAAATTACTGAAAAAGTCCTTTCAATGACAACAAAGGAATACCATAAGGCACAAGAAGAAGTAAGGGACTTACTTTTTAAATGATATTATAAAATTACAATAAACATTAATTTTAAAATTGAGATATATTTTACTTGGGACTGGTAGTGAACCAACTATGGTTATCTGATAACAACATAATGGAAAAAATTGGTCAAAAGTGGAAATCATTTTATTGCTATAGATAGCTTAAAAAATAATTATATTCTTAAAAGATACATCAGAGTATAATTTTCTGAAAAATTCTTGTGAAAACTCTGCCATAAATTTCCTAAATTAGGAAATTACTACATGCAACTTGAGTCTGGAAACTATAAAACATGCTAATATAAGAAAAACATTAAAATTTTGTTGAACTTTGAATAAACACTAAATCTTTTATTTATTTTCTGACTTTCTAGAAACAATAGTATTGTTCTGAATTTTAGAATTGCTAACAAAATTATCTCTTATCAAGGGAAACCTATAGTTTACAAATGTCAAGCCTAAGTGAGCTAATCCTAAGATTCTATAGGCAATACTGTAATGAAGAACTATTAAAGCAAGTCTGCTTCTTTCCAAAGCTCATGCTGTGAAGTCGACAGCATATTCCATAAATGAAGTAATAATACAAAATTGGTGTTAGACAAAAGGGGAAAATGATTTTCATGTAGTTGCCTGGACTGCAAAAGCATTTAATCTTTCTGAGAAAAGATCATGAATTTGCTAATTTCCATGTACCACTATCAGTAAATAAAAATCCATAAGCAACTTAAAGAATATGATAGTGTGAATATTTAAATATTAAACTTCCTTGTAATTCTTTTGACATTTTGACAATGAAATGTACCTAAGCTTTGGGGTTTTAATATTTTCTGTGATTCTGAGAATAACTGATTGATTCTCCTTTGCTAGCTATGGATTTTACAATAGATGGACAAGTACAGTGCATTGAATTTTTCTGTGTGAATTCAAGTCTTTGAATTAGTGACTACATTAATATTTGGTACTTATACATGTTCAATATTAAAGACTATATTGTAAACTTTGGTAATTTCAGTAGAGAATATTTCATAAGAAAAATTCAATTTATTGAATAATTTCTAAGATGTAATAAATAATATTTGTATAAAGTTACAGTTCTGACTCATTCCACTTATTAACAAAGCCAAAGACGAGGTTGTTATAAATTTTAGAAATATTGTCCCCTATACATCTGAAAAATGTTTTTATCACAATTGGAGAGTTTTATTACATTTTTTCAGTAAGTTTAAAGGGAGCCTATCAGGTACCTTGAAATGGTAAACTTTAAGAAATGCAAATAAATATTTTTAGTTTAATTAGTATAATTGAAATTGTATCTATAATAGAATATATTACTGTTAGAGATTAAATAGAACATAAGAGAATGAACTGATTAAGTGTTTTTTACCTTTTAAGTACTGTAATTATTTTGCTCTTTGATATGGAAAGTTTCAATGGAACTGAAAACTTAAACTGGCACAGGAAAATATTTATTATGGTAAATACATCATTTTTAATGCAACTTATTAGCAACACTGGAAATGAGAATTATCTTTTCTGGAAAATCCAACAGTATTGATGTTTGGTGTTTCCTCTTTATTGTCATTTGCATGTTTATTTAGCACCTATTTAATTCAATGTTCTTTCTGAACAGTGCCTTATTTGGTTGCATGTTTACTTGATCAGCTATGGCTCCAAATGCCTTTTGTTTGTTTCAGAAATCAAATACATAGTAAAAGAAATAGGTATTTGTGTGTGTACATATGTGTGAGTATGTATATGCATGTGTTTAATCTATAAATATATTGCATACACTATGAAAATAACATCTATGTCATTACTTTAAAAGTGATTATACTCATCTTGATGTGTAATTTCTAGAGTTTTGGTCAGAAAAAATTAGTGACATCAAGTTTGGCCCCAATTCATATAAAAATATGTAAAACCATGATGCTGAAGAGAAATGAAAAATTTTAGGGGGAATTACTACAGTGTTTTTACACACAATTTATTTTTTATAAAAAACATTGTGTTTCTTGACGTATTTCAAAACACAAACTGAAAATCATAAAATATGAGATTCAGATTCCTGCTGCCTATACTTCCATCTTAAAATATTGTTTTATTTCACATAATTTTTACACATGAAAACCATGAATACTAATAAAGCATGCATCATAAAATCACTTTTAAATGATGAAATATGTTAAACAGCAACAAGCTTTTTGGATATGGTCAACTGAAAGTCTACATGTAGTTTATTATTGTCAGTTTAAAAGTATGTTCCTCCAGGTTCTCTGAAAAGTAATAACATGATGGGATTAAATGTGTATGGATTTTATTAGAAGAAAAGCCTATGAGAGAAAATGGGTAAAACTCTAGGTAAGGCTGGAAGACCCATCAGGCTGAAATGCAGCTTTGACATGAGTGAGGGATACTGCTGTGCAGTCTAAGGAAGGCTCAAGGAACCTATCTTTGAGCTGAAGTTGTCCGTTAGAGGAGTCCCATGACTCATTGGGATGGACCAGTCTCAGCCATCAGTACCAGCTTAGTGATGTATGTCAGAGCACAGCAGCTGAGACCCTTCGTCAATTATGTTCCTGTAGTTGCGAGTCCGTGAGGCACATTCTCATTGCTTCCTTAAAAGGCAGAGTTGACAGTATCCCTGTTGTCATGAACATAGCCCTATTGGCAGGTGAGTTAGAAAGACATTTAAAGTATCTATTTTCAATCACCTTTTCCCCAGGAGTAGATGGAACCTCTTAAACAGACTTAAAAGCAGCACATAAGGGACCTCTGGCTGGAAAGAAGATAAATTTCCTTTCAAAGTACTTTCCATCTTGGAAGGTTCCAGGAAACTATTGAAAAGTTCGGAGTATCCCAAGTGGTAGGAATAAGAAGGTTTCCTGTTAGTTGCACTGCAGTGCATCCTTTCAAATCAAGAGATACTTAACTGTTCACAGGTTCCCAAGTCTTATCTAGTCTTTGGTCATCAAACCTGAGTTAGGCTCGCCTCTTAAACTGAAAAACACTGTACTCTTGGGCCTGAAACTAAGAAGTTGCAGGAAGTATGAAATACTCGTTTTTATCTCCCTGCCCTCTTTCTGGTTCTTCTTAATTATGTTGTAAATTAGAAAGTTCCTTGATCTTAAGTTTAAGCGCTGACCTGGCCTTGAGACCATCCTATATGACATGTCAAGATGACATTCATAGAATAGAGGCTGCCTCCCTTTGTGCCAATTTCAAGTAACAATTCAGTGCAAAGTGCTTTGGAGTTCTCCTTACTAATATAGACTCAAGGCCACATAACATTCAGGCTGACAGCTAAACTTAATACTAGGGAAACCAGGAGATCTTCAAAGAGCTCTTCATAATAACCAAAGTACAGCATTCAGAATGTATGGTTCAGAATGTACAACTTCAGTACTTACACATTTTAGGATGATTTTGAACACGATAATTTTTTGTGCTGGGTCTAAGTCATCCTGAGAATTTGATTAAATTCAAGGGTTGCATGAATGTATCATAAAAACATGACCAAACTGCCCTCTGTAGGTTTTTATGCAAAAACCTCTGTGCATGTTTATAGACAGGTGTGCATTTGCATTCTTTCAGAAGTTTGGTTTGTTTCCTCCTCAGAATACTCCTTTTTTTTTTTTTTGCTACCTTCAGCTCATTTGTCACTCTCCCAAATTCCGTACAAGTGTCACTTCCGTGCTGCATTTCCACAGAGAATGAAGAGTAGAATGTGTAGGCTTTCTGCTGCACAATGAGATGGTGCATTTTTTCAACATATGCATACGTAAGCCTTCTTTTGTGAATGGGACTGATAGGGTCAGATAATGTTTAAAGGGAAAGGCTTTATGTCTCTCAGGCCTCTATGTTTCCACATGGATGCTCCCACACACACATAGATTGAATTATGAACAGACCCATTAATGCTGGGATCACAAAAGGTCAAGTTTTGTCTTCTTTTACCCCTATTCACATTGCCTTTGTAGAGAGAGAGAGAAAAAAAGGATTTGCAGGAAAAAAAAGATTCATGATGGAGAATTTTAAAGAACGTTTTTTTCCCCTTCTAGCAACATCTGTGACTGGAAAAAAAATCATATTATGTAAAATAATTCAGGAATATTGTATTACCTACCTGATTTTGGTATATTAATTATTTCATTTAGGGTCATCTTTAAGAGTAACATGTTATAACTGAGAAGAAAATGTAGCACTTTGAGGACAAAAGACCTTATAAATATGTAATGTAACAAAGTTTTAGTAAAACTGGATGGAAATTTTATCAAAATGTCAGTGGTGAGCTTCTTGGTATGTTTTCTCCTATGTTTAAGATACGTTAATTTTTGCTAGGACATCTTATTTGATAATTTTAGGTTATTTTTGTAAAAACAAGTGATGATTGGTATAATTATGCTTCACATACATTAACAAATAATAACAGGGCCAGTGAAGAAAGCAAAAATGATGGAGAAATTCTTTGAAGCCACAAAGAATTTTAGGAAATGAAATTTTTAATGCTTTAACCAATAGCCCTTTAGAGTGCAAATGACATCATCCATTGTATGGTTGGTTGATTTCTGATGTCACATGAAATCCCTTATCAGTGAAAGACTATGGATTGTGACAGTAAATCAGTCATGTATAAAAATGCTCTCATACCAAACCCTGGAATTTCTCCTTTTTTTGGTGATTTGGTAAAGCCCAAAGTGCAATAAATAAAATTAAAGAAAACAGTATTATGACTAGCATAATATAGTGCATGATACTTACCATACTTTAAACTTTAAAGACTACATGAAATGATAGCCTCTTGAATCACGTGATAGCTGGGGGTAGAATCGGAGAGGATCTGTGCTTTCCAGAAATGGAGTCTCTCTATTTAAGGCCTTTGGTTCTTAGATTTCCATTTCATCAGATAACTATAAGAGCAATGTACTTGGCCTGTTTTGGTCTCTAGTTTTTGTATGATAGGCACTGTTATCCATCACTTTTGTGGATGATACTCCTGGATGATATGGCAAAGATGAGGATGAAAACATCAATTAATATTGGATCATATCTGCATTTCCATATTTCAAATGTTACAAATTTCCTATGGTGCTAATAGTACTTTGGAAAGGACAGAAATAGGGTCCAGAAAATAAGAAAAGGTCCTGAATCCTGGATACCAAGCTGAGAAATCTGAGGGAGCAACTGGAGGGTTAATTATGCTGTTGGAGGTAGATTGATGCAGTGGAGGTGGCAGGATGGATTAGAGGGGGAGAGGAGCAAGGAGACTGCTCAGTCGGTATTTTGGCAATTCAATTAGGCAGAGGAGATAAGGGGATGAGGGCTTGGACCAGAGTGTTACGCATAAGAAAGGGAAGGAAGGAGAGGAAGTGTACTGTGTGTTTGGAAGAAGGGTTGGCAAGCTGCAGACCTGGGCCACATCCAGTCCATTGCTTGTTTTTCTAAGTAAAGTTTTATTGGAACAGAACCATGCCCATTTGTTGTATAATGTCTGTGGCTGCTTTTAAAGTACAAGTTGCAAGTTCGCATAGTTTTGATGGACATGCTATGGCCTTCAAAACTAAGAATATTTATTATCTGGCCCTTATAAAGAAGAAGTTCACCAACTCGTTGTTAATAAGGAAGGACTGTTTAAAGCAAGTAGATGACTGATGACATAGGGACAAATATGAGAGATATGGGATACCAAAGGAAAATAGGAATCATTTAAGTTAGCTTGTTTATATGCATATAATGCATCTAAAGCTCTGGGAGAAAGTTGAATGTAATTGATGTTTTATGTATAATCAAAAACTGACTAGGCAGAGTAGAAAAATAAATATTTAAATCATGTGGATAATAGTACAAATTTGCTTTTATTGCCTTCTCTGAAGTCCTCTGTAGAAGGAATAGACATCACAGGCTTAACATTAGCACTGGAATATATATAGGCTGGAGCAAATACAATTTTAGCTAAGAGAGATAGAAAGAGGATGGGGTACCAGTACATGGGAGACTCTTGCAGAAGGATTTCCTACTTTTACTGTAGACATGGAAGTGAAATGGAGAATCTAGGTAGCAAATCATTTCAAACTTTCATGTGCTTTGTGTGAAATAGGGGTAGCGATGGAAAAGAAAGACCAAGAAAGACAATTAAAACTTGATATGTGGAAAACATGTAGCTTTAAAAAATAAGACACTATACTAATATGACGTAAAGGAAGCACCTACTGTGGGTTAGACACTGTGCTGTCCGTTCTTTAACCTATTTTAATTCTTAATCTGATAAGGTCAGCATTATTCTTCACTTATAGATGAGGGCTTTATTACCTCTTCAAAGTCTCTCAGTCAATAAATGGGAGGGCAGGCTTTTAACCCAAGATTTCAAAAAGTCCATGCTCTATTCAGAGTCATTCACAATTCTAAATGAGTCTAATTTGATCACTTTAAAAAGTCATGGTAAAGGTGAATTTCTGCTTTTCATCTCTTTTGGTCACCATCATATATCAATTCGTGTTTGTGAAAGAATCCAATCTACTAAAATGTAAGCTCACATAACCCATTGAAGAGTCAAAGGACAGAATGATTTTTAACTTGTAAACTATGTGGACTAAAGGATTTATTTCTTATTTCTGAGTCCTCTGCATAGATTATTAAATTAATATCCATAAGTCAAGTTCACATGTCTATCTTAAATCTGCTAATTAGAAAGGATCTAGAAATTTAAAAATAAAGGGTACATGTTTTTAAGTCTTTGCTATTTCTGGAAATGTTCTACACTGTTTTCAGAAATTGGTGTATATTCAAAATATTGTCTAGAATAGAGAATTGTCTTTGAAGTATGGGTATTTTTTAAGATTAAATTTTGGAAAATTATATTTGGAATACTTGGAAGGAAGGTAACATATTGATTTATTTAAAAATTGGTAAATATTAATCAATTTGAATTTTAAATGAAACATATTGATAGTAAAATAAAATACTTTAAAAATGAAGGTATGTACACTGAAATTAAATATTGTCATTGGTCCATATATTAGATTAATTAAAATTTTAGGAAGGATTTATTTTGGTAAGCAGCTTACAAGTCATTGGCAAACTTGTCAGATGTATATGTTTCCTTTCATATACAGAGATATTTTTCATTCAGCAACTGTAAATGGCCATATTTCCAAAGTACAAAGGTTAGAAATTTTGATGAAGGAATGTATCTTTTCTATTTTCTTTACTTGAAGATAGATCTATACTCAAATTCTTATATCGAAGTCATTTTCCTCCCATCAAACTAGGTACTCAAAAATCTAATAGGTGTGACATCAACAATTACTTCTTGCTAACAACTCTTGTAATTTAACCCCTTCAGGTGAGTAGGCTGATTGATGAATTGGAGACAGCTATCAAAAGCAACAGAGGTCACCTCTCTAAACTTGGCCCCCAATTACAGGCTGAGCAGGAGCAATTCTGCTCTTATGTCTACCAACACATTAAAAGCCTTCCAGCAAACACTCTTATCCCAGGAGGCCTGCAACTCAAGGTGGGTGTAATTCAGTGACTCTTGTTGAATTCAGTCAGAGATGAAAACACTGCTCTATTTGAAGACCCTTATAACAATGCCACTCAGCTTGAATTTCTGTATATGTTGTCTTCCTTAAACTGGAGTTTGTTTTACAAGTGCTAATCTTATTGTTTAGAGAATATGTTTTAAAAGAAAGTACCTAGAAGTCTTTGAAATGTGGATTTATAAACTTTAACTACTTTTCAAGCCAGAAAGTAATTTTAATAAAGAAATTTAATCATCTGAATATTTGTGTTCTTTTCCAAAGCCATATATTTTCCATAAGAGTCACTATATATTTCAGTTTTTAAAAATAACTTACATGGAGATATGGGCACACTTTAATAATTGACAGCCAGTGACAATAGGAATCAGAGGTGAAAGGCCAGGTGACTGATTGATGTTCAAACTACATTTCCAAGGAAAAGGATTTGTATTGGATAAGTGTGACACATTTCTGAGTTCACTTGTTAAAATCAATACTTAAGAATATACTGGGAAAAAAAGGTGAATTGGTTATTTGTCAGGACAAGATGGCTAAATGTCCTAGACTACTTTTGCTATTGCATCTTTGGAAGACAAAAAGAATAACTCATACTTAGCTGAAGTGGATTAGGTACTAAAAGCTTAGGGAATTTAAACACTTTTGTATATTGTTCCATGTTGAGTCTGTCAAGTTAATATAATTTCATATCCCACATTTCAATAGACCATAACTAGTAAAATTTGAATTGTTCAAAGTATGGACCTTTTCCATCTAAGAAACAAACTATTACTATAACTGTCTATTTCCTTACAATTATATTTGTATTTGAATGTGATAACATTCAAAGTAATTATATTTGATCAGCCTTTATCTCTACACATCTTCTTTCTTAATATTCAGCTTAATTTTGCAAATAACATTGTAAACATATTTTCTATCTGTGACTTTTTAAAAATGGCATCCCCATGTTTGCATTTTGAATGAGAATGTCATCATGTGAAAGTTAACCTTTGGGGAAATGTAATTCCATTTTAAACACTATAGTTTATTTCTTATAGTCCTTGCTATTCAGCTAAAGGCTTAGGAAATGATGTTCAAGACATCAAGGTAAAGGGTTCCTACAGTCCAGCAACATTGTTCTTTTCCAGATTTCTGACTTGGTTAGAGACGTATTCTGCCATTTTGCAAAGTACTTGCTATTGATTAAGAGAGGAGCTAGGTAAGGGAGTATAGTTACCCTAATGCTAGTCATCTCCACTTTTTTATTAGCAACTGTCATCTGACATGGAAAAAAATAAAAGTTTTTTTTTTTCCCTCACAAGTTTGGTGCATATTTCTGAATAATTCAGTTATTCACTTTAGCACATGGGCTTGATAGCAAATATTCTCCTTTTAGGATTTGAATTGTTTCTCTTATATAATCCCCTTTTAATATGCTCCAAAATTCTTTCCATACCAGCAAACAAAAAAGAAATTTATATATGCAAGGAACCAATCTTGTTGTATTTATTTAGACTCAGTGTGCTGTCCAGTACAGTAGCCACTAGCCATGTGTAGCTAAATTTAAATTCATTAAATTAAATAAAAAATTCATTAAGATGAAAAATCCAATGCCTCCAGTAGTAAGTCTGTGACTTTTCCTGGTTTTAGTGCTGAAAACCCCAACCCAGGAAACCTCTCAGTCCCAAACAAAATGGTCTGGTCGGTCACCCTTGTCTTACCTAAGGGTTCCACCTCCCTCCTCTTAGGCATTCTCCTTCTGTATGATTCTTTCCCCGGAAATACTCAGCCTCATTGACTTCTCCCTCCTTTCTCCCAAGTTTCCCTCTTTGGAACATTCAGTTTCTCTCAGAGAATAAATTCTTCTTCCTGCATTCCAAGAAACCTGGATATCAGCCTCATCCTCAGGCCTTAGCACAGGCCAATGGTCTTTCAATCTTGACTGCATATTCGAATTATCTGGAAACCTTTTAAAAAACATCAATGCCTCTATCTTCAGAGATTTTGATTTAATTGGTTTGGTATGTGGAAGCTTGCTTCTACCAGTTTGAGATTCCTGGTTGTTAAATTTTCAGGAATTTTATGAGCCAGTTTTAAATACATCCAATTAAATTGAATATAAACCTACAATTAAATAAGTCATATTAAAAACTACAGGTAATACTCCTCACTTCCTATTTCATTACATTTTACTATTACCTATACCCCTTGAAGTTACTTATGCCTACTGTGTATGTTTAGTGGAAACAACTATATAATGGTGTGCTACTGGGCATCTCTTCCAAAGCTTACATTCAGTGATGGCTTGTTGTAACTTAAAATTGTTGGGAGTAGATGTGATTTGTAAAGAAACTGAGATTTTTAGTTTTGTAAACTAGTTCTTAAATCTGAAATAGCCATTTAGTAGAGACAAAACTGGGTTAGCAAACTATACTCTAAATATTCAGAATTGCAGATCTCTTAGAAAGGAGTCATTTTTTTCTACTCCCTCTTCGGTGGGGAGAATTTTCTAATTTCACCTGAAAAGATATTGAACGAAGTCCACAGTGTACCATCCTTCACTAATTCCAGAGTCAGTTTATATCAGTTGCCTGGCCCAACTCTAATTTCCCATGGGATATGAATGAGCTGCCCTTCTTTGGAGCACCATCTGTAATCCAGTTACCTCTAAGTCACAGTGGGCAAGGACCATGTCTTTTCTGGTTATGAACAACTTTATTCCATCCTGTGGCATGTGCTATGCAGAGTGCTAGATGATACATTAATAAACTAATGTATTTTCCATTTATAGCTGAAAGCCATGGATGGCTCTAGGAAAATTTATTTTTCCCTTTTTCTGTTCATTTTGATCTTAGAAAAGTGTCTGATAGAAAAACAAACTGGGATGACCATCTTTCTGATTTTCTCCATTTGATGATATGTATCACTGTTGAGTTTTTGTGTGTGTACACATATACACATATATATATAATTACATACATATATACACATACATATATATGTGAATATATATATCTATATGCCCAGGACTTCAAGAGCCAAAATAATTAGTTTTAGCAATCATCATCTTCTAGAGCAGTGGTTCTCAACTAGGGGCTTCGAGGTATGGTATGATTCAAAATCCCCTGTGCTGCTTTTTCATATTGTATTTGGTTGCTTTAACCTCTTCACTGAGCTTCTCATCCTCATCATATCTTTTTTTATTGATTATTTAAAATTTAAAAATTGCAGCTTTTGGTTAGGTCTTAATATTAGAATGTCACCTCTTAAAAGAACATACTCTTTCTATGTTCCATATTGTCTCTTGTCTCATTTTTACAATCACCTGGCATAATACAGTACCAAGTTTAAATCAACATATAAGACAAAGGACTGAGAACAGCCTAATTTTGGATGTCCAACCCTGCCATGGGAAAGTACCTTATTTAAAAAATTGAAAACACACACAACAATAGAGGGATTTTAGGAAAAAGTTTTATTACTTACAATAACATTATTTATTATATGACCATTCTCATCCTGGCATATCATTTTCACAGGCACTCCTATGCCCTATGTAGTCACAAGCAAACTACGCAAAAAATAATGTGTGCTTTTTTTGTATCCTGGTACATTTTCTTGCCATCACATCATAGCAACTTTAAGATTGATGAGATTTCTTACTGTTTTTACCTCTAGTGGTCACACTCAATGTGCACCAGAGTTTATGAAGACCTTCAAGTAACAAGCTTTGGAGCAATTGCTTACTATTCCAAGCCTTTTCTTAGCTCATACCCCCTGTTCCTGCCACTGCCCCCAGACACTGTAAGAATATCTGCTATAGCCATGGCTCAGGGACTTTTGCCTTCTCAGTCCGGTTTTTTCCTTGTAACTCCTCCTCCTCTTCATCTGCATGGAGATGCTGTCAGAAATGTTAGCATTTCCCTGAAAGAGCAGGAAAGAAACGATTGTAGGAAAGAGTATTCGCAAATCTGTAGGGGATGATGGGTGGAAAAACTGGTAGGAAGGTGGGTGATTGTGACAGAGAATTGATAAGCAAGAGTGTGGAGTATGTGAGTAGGTGGAAGAAAGCACAGGGGAACAAGTGGGAGATGGGTACCCGGAAGTCCTTTCACTGGAATTGGTGCTTTTCACACACAGTTGGTCAATGATGCCCTGTGGGTTGTCTTCCATTTGCTTCCAGGAGAGCCAGATCCAGGAGAGGAACCTCTTTAAAAATTAGGGGTGAAAGTAAATATTTATTTAGAATGAGAAAGCAAATCACAACAAATTAATGGAGGCTTGAAGACTCAGAGCCTTTCTTTTGAGACATTTTTAAGTCAGCTTCTCAGAGATATTTAGGTAGAAATACTCTTTAATTGCTCTCTGGTTTCCTCTCCCCACTTATGACACTCTATAGCTCCCAGCAAGTTCTAGCCCTCTGAGGGGCTGGAGCACATTAAAGGTACTGAAGCTGAATCTTCATGATCTTTATGAATGGAATCACATGAATCCATTCTGGTGGTGAGCAAGGGAAATAAGTAACCCATATAAAAACAAGATTCAGGTGGCTGTGATTTGGAGATTTTTTTTAGTCTTTCTATTTTTATGTTGTTTGGTTTTAGTGTTCTCTTACAGCATAAAAGTATTTAAGCTTTGATAAAGGGATAGATATTTCAGAGATTTACTTTTTAAAGATGCCTTTTTCCAGTGTCTAATTCATCCTGCAGGTAGTATGGTACACATCTAACAATTTTTATTCTGCCAATGACTGAAAGAAAGACTATAAGCAAATAGTACAGTAAATCCACATATTATCAAATACAAATTGTCTACATGGCATTGTACTAGGTACCGTGGGAAGATGCAGAGAAGCCAAGAACTGGCCCAATTCTTCTTGGTCCAAGCCCATAATTATTTTCATACAATTAGAACAATATGACACCTTTTAAAGACTGTTAATCTAATGTGTGGGTCTTCTCTGAGGTTTCAACATCATCATTCTAGTTTATAG